TGTGGCTTGTGAACCTTGCTGCCGAAGCTTGAGGCTCTGTACCCAAATTTGGATTTGCTGATCTCCATATGTTGGTATTCTCCTCAATACAGCCCATGTGTGCATTAGCAACAAACATGGTTTAGTTTAAAGTTACTAAATGTCATCTCTTAAAAAACATCTCTATGAAAACTCAAAGTGACGTAGTGATGAGATTAGAGGTGAGTCAATACCTTCCTTGAGACTTGTGTACTAATACATCAGTAAGACTTGAGTTTTTGTTAATGTGTTTTACTAAGTATGTTTGCACGATTGCAAAGCCAGAAGGGTCTCCATGTCTTACCAGATGTTGACCGAAGATGTTGAATTGTAGCTGGAGCAATATGGGGAGTCGGTTTTGAGTGTTTGAAGGAGGAATGCTGCTTAAATTGAGGTGAAAGTTCATCCAAGCTGCTGAAGCTTGTTCCAACTTTCGACGTTGAAGTTTGGTTTTGGCTTTGGGTGGAAAGTGAGTCCTGTTCATACCGCTCTTGGTTTGTTTCTTGTAGTGGCAAAGATTTAGTTAAAGACACGTCTTCTCACCTGAGCGTTGGTTGCCATCTCCGTAATTACGAGCGATCAAATTGAGGATTCGGTCATCATGCTCAGTTCCTCTCACTGCATAAGGCCGCACGCAAATCTATAACCAATCCCATTTTACTTCCACAAAGCACCTCAAATCACAAGGATAACGGAGGTTGTAACAGAGCATTATTCTAGGTGGCATGTCGCATTAGTTGCACAACTGCATTGTTTGGCTTACATTGATCATAGAACCCATTCCTCCCGAGAGAACCAGATCCAACTAAGGGCATGTTCGCCATTTCAGTGTCCCGCAATGATGCAATATCCAGGTTCTCAGTGTCCAAGAGAATCGCAGCCAGCTGTTATTTTGCAAAAGCATTATAGAGAAAGTTGTCATTATTGTTATTGAATGACTTATCTCTAGAGTGGAATCAGTAGCATCGGGATCAAGAATGCCTTGTTTCAGTCTTGTGGTTGTATGACATCTTTGAATAGTCACTTTGTGAGGTATTAGAAGCTAACGAGGTGTCAACTTTGGGTAACAGTTACCTCTTACCAAGAGTGACTTAATGTAGCGCGGCTCCAATAAGCATGGAGCCTCAGCCAGCAGCTTCTCTCCTAAAACCGTGCACAAGGAACACACCTACCAATGCAGAAGTGACATCCATGGTCAAAAACTGGCAAAATCTTGTTGCAGTCCAGAGAAATGGATGATAATAATGCCAGTGACATTGTATTCCTGGTAAAAATCGGCTCTAAAAGTTTGCGTGTAAGCCCATACAAAAAACTGTTGCGTTTAAGCTGTAAACAAGACATCACACCATGTCGTAGCCTCACCTCATTCCTGGACACAAGAACGTCTTCAATTGTTGAGATTTTCACGCGCCCTGCCTCTATCGAGCTTGCCATCTCGATCTGCACAATCATAAGAACTAGTTGGGTTGAAAAACAACAGCTTTTTCTACCAAAATCTGCAGCTATGCAATCTGTCTCCACACGAGGACAGCCGAGTTTTGAGATTGCAAAGAGGAGTTTGTCGGTTACCTCATTGGCATATAACAGCTCGTCAACATTGATTCCACAAGCATCAAAAAGCCAATCAGCGTCCTTGTGATTGTGCATCTGATGTCTGGGTACTTCGATCATCGGAACTGCCTTCCATGGCTCTTCTCCCACATTAAGAACCTTATTCTGCAGAAACCAAGCGTAGCACATCATCGCTATTATGGAGCTTGCGTCTGCCGACAGCCCATATTGAAAGTTGTGAGTACCATTCAGATTATCACAAATCCAACATTGTAACAGCAACTAAACCAATATTAGTCAATGTTCAACGGGAAGAACAAACCAATATCTTTCCCCGATAGTACGACACTGAAATAATCGGTGTTTCCTTTCTCCAACGCACCAAGCAAGCACTTTTTCTGACGTCTCAAAAACCTGTTAAAATGTTGAATTTTTCTACACTTGAAAATGAAACTCAAAGTGGAATTGCATAGCACAGAAACATCTCCAATCCTTCGGCTTTGATCTGCTTGCAATGGTGGTGTTATTTGGCGATCCCATTCCGTCTTCTCAACAGATGGAAATCTGTTTCTTGTATGAACACAATTCTTACTCACGATGTCAACGCTTCTGAAGCTCCAATTGTGACTTCGTGGGTTGTCGATGCTTCAAAAACTTCCATGACAACCCCCGAAGGCGCCGCCCTTCCTTAAGCTAAGCCCTCGAGCACTTCTGAAGCTGCCAAGGCTTTTCCTCAATCGAGAAGTATCCTTGCGATTCCCAAATCTCTGCGACTCATCACAGTCCACTGGAAATTGTTGATTTAGTCATGTTTTCGGCATTAACTTGGAAGCTATCCGTTTCTCCGATTTCATCTTGCACATGTGACCCTTGGATGACTCTCGTTCTAGGACTTAGAGCTGTAGTACAAGCATGGGAAGCGCAACTTCAAGATGTACCTCTCCTGTGCCTCTCCTCTCCTCTGCTGCCAGGCGAACGCTTTCTACTAATCACCCCACTGGAATATCAATTCAACTTGGTGTAAGACGTTTGGCGAGCATCTTTCAAGGTCTGTGAGGTATGTGACATGGTCAAATGCGCGTGCGTAGCTCTCTAACTTTGAGAGGTTTCGCAATTTCATCGTCCACTTGTAAAGCAGGCCCGGAGGGCTTGCAATTCTTGAGGAGCTTTGACGCATGAGACTCGTTGATGCCAGAGCTAGGCGATGTTGGCAAGGAGGATGGTGCTCTGGCCACACTCATTTCTTGCTCTCCACAGGGTCGCGTAATTCGAGACGAACCACCCAGCACCAGGTCCTTATTCAATCGAGTCAGAGTATGTCTCAATTTTGGTGTGGGGTTCCCGAGTGCCAGTTGAGCTAGTATGTATGTGTTCCCACCATAGAACTCTTCCTTTAAAATTATCCTCTCTGCTTTAGTCAAGTGTATCTTGCCGTCACTTTCCGGGGGCTGAGGCAGTAAATGAGGTGGATTGTTCTTAATCGTTTCTTCCAGACGAGTACCTTGACACAAAGAGCGGGTCGGGTGTCGTCGTGAGGTTCTTCTGGAATGAACAGTGCTGTCTCCGTCTCCCCGCCGGATTAAGGTCTCCAGGTTCATCAAGCCCTGCCTGTCTTAAGCACCCTTAGAGGATTGTTGCCATTGAATGCTTTCCATGAATTGCACTTTCGCTGAATTTTTACTGCGACCTTGACTTAGAAGACATTCTTGACTAGTATTTGAGAGACTGCTCCTGTGGATTGGTGTATCTGAATCTTGTTCAGGATCTGCATGGGCCGAATTCACAGGCACAAGGCCTGGGATAAACTATGGCTGTATGAAGAACTGAAAGAAATTTTCTCAGTGGGGTCACAATCTCCGTTGTCTGCTACTAATGACTTTGTGACGGGTTTTATTTAAAATATGGGTCTGGAAAGTTCAACTGATTTGTTCGATCGTGCGAAGTTCTGATCCGTCCAGAACCCCGCGAACTCTGGCAAGTGTTGTGATTGCATCTTCTGGTCAATTCCAGTGCCCGCGTGCCATGGCAGGGTCAAACCTATCAATGAGACTGAACACTGCATCAAGATGCAGCGTCACTCTTGTAATCTGTTCAAACCTTTACTATGACATTGCAAATAGATTCTACTTGGGCCCAATATCACACCTCCGATTCGTGTCAAGTTTCGACACCTGAATGGAGTATTCACTAGTGAGAAATTAAAACGCGGACACAAAGAATTCCAGGAGGCATAGAGACTGAAGTCCTATTATCAGGATCTGAGGAACTCTGAAACAATCAGAAACATATGAGTAGAACTTTAAGGGACGCCCACCTTTTAAGTACAGCAGTTGAAGCTCTCTTCTGAGATTGCTTAATCTCAATAGCCAAGCTGCCAAAATTTCGTAATACAAAAGAAGCCGAGACAAGATGTGATGCACGACTAGTACTATCACCAGACCAATCAACAACCAGACTATATTTAGGGTCCAATCAGGGGTAAGTGTGAGTTGCAACTATGAAATTGAAAGCTCTGCAGCTACCACATTCCGTTTTCACTTCTTCGAAGCCTCCTCTACCAAAACTGCACGAGGTACCATAGCTAACTTTACTTGAATGAGCAACATGATTAACAAACTGACTGATTCAGAATCAATGCCGCATCACAAGCTTCACTACCACTGCATTGAGTTCTCACAAATGCCTAGTCGTCTGATGAGCTCCTCTGGCATATTTTCTATATGTACCACTGTCGTCAGCATAGCCTCAACCAATTCCAATTATTGTGGCCCTGTGCAAGAGTAGGGCTGAAGTAAATTAAAGTTTTAAAAAGTAAAATTAACCGATCAATCAATCTCTTAGTCACGACAAAAATATTACACATCTTTCCTAATTTAACTGATTAATTCAGTGCAGGTAACAATCCAGGATCGTGTCATGCTAGAGAGCATTTTATCAAGCCAAAATGTATGCCGAAACTTTTGCCACTTTCTCCAACATCGACGTCTAATGGAACATTCAAGAAGAAGGTTTCCATAGCCTACTGGACAATGAAAGTGCCGATATAACCACAACCAGGGCAATGCAACTTACTCTTGAAATCACATTCAACAGAAATTTGAAGGGTTAGATTTTTTAATTCACTCATTATCCAAGGTGCACCGCAACTTTGGAGCTATCAAGCTCTCATGGTCCAGTAGCGAATGTAGTGATTCCATCCGGCATCTTATTCAGAATAGCTCTTCACACATAACATCGCACTCTGAGAAATTTTATTGCACAAGAATGCACATGAAATAAGTTCGGGTTTCGTTTTCAAAGCAAAACCCTGAAGTGCAGCAATCCGTGAATAGCGCTCCTGTGGCACTCAGACCTCCCAGCAAACCAATGTGGCATACTCTAACAGGGATGTTTGTTGAAGTCACCTTAAATTCTCAGCAGAATATCCAATAGCAGATCTGCAAACAGTCTCTGCATTTCGTGGATTAACAAGCTTATCCACGACACCCTGACCCCACATCGATTAGCAGATTAGCAACGCCCTCGCTAATTAATCTCTGCTGCGAAAGAGTCCATCCCTTGCAAGTGCAAAAGTATCATACTTGGGTCAGAATCCCATACCCAGTCACGACCATTATTACTCCATAGAAAACCATTCCGCCGGGGTCGTTGGTGTTGGTTCTGGACATAGTTGTCGTTTACGATGTCGGAATTGTCTTTCTTCTTCAAGACCAGGCCTCGAAGTGCTGTGTTTTAAGTCTGTCTGGAGCTACAGAGCTCTACGATTGATAGTTTTAATTTCAGATTGTGGGTGTATGCGGACGTCACGGACATGGCTGTGCAGTTGGGTTCCGCTACAGGAGCTAGGTCCTTGAAATTGGGGTTGCAAAGCTTGAATTTCAGCAACGGGAGGATCCTTAGCACTGCTGAGTCATTGAGAACACGGTTGGGGAGTTTGAAGCCTAGGAAGCTCGTGGTGCGGGCCGAGGAGAAAACGGTTGTTGATCTTAGAGAGGTCACTGGGGCGAAGAGAGGGGTTCCTTCGTCTTGCAAGTGCGTTCCTATCCTTGCATTATGAGAATTTGAGAATGCTTTATTCGAATTTGTCCATTGTCATATTTCGTTTAAGAGCTGCAAGGTGGGTAGGGATATTATCACCTGAAGAATGCACTTTCGACTTATAATCTGTGCAGGCGTGTGTTGGTTTCAACGGAGAGGCGAGAGGAGGACGACCATGAAGAGCGCAAACGGAGATGGGCAGGTCGGCAGGCTGCGAAGGCCCGGAAAGCTGCCCTTCAATTGGAAGAGAGATTAAGCCTTGTGAGTTCTCCGTACTGTCTTGAATCTCAAGGGATTCATGATCAGAAGTTCCGGTAGCAAATTATAATTGAGTGCAGGAATACATAATCGGTCGAATTTCTATTTATTGCATCTACTACCTGTTCAATTGAGTCCGTGTTGCATCAGTTTGCACATAAATTTTCTCCTCATGGTCTTTGTATAAACACGTGGGATCTCTTTTTCAGCCGTTGCTCGAAATTCAAATTCTAGTGTTTTTTCAATTCTTACCGTGTCTTTCTTTAGAAATTGGTAGGATGACGAGAAGTGAGGCCTGGTATATTTTATGAATGAAGTTTTCTAAATCCAATTACGATTCTAATGTTTTTATTTCTTGAGAGTGGATTGTCTTTTCAGGTTGCTCGGAAGAAAAAATATGTAGAAAAGGAGTTAGCAAAGTTGGATGGCCAGATGAAACTTGCCGACGCGCCTCCAGCAAAAGAACAAATATCAGACGAGGAACGGTATATGTTTATGAAACTTGGCTTAAGAATGAGAGCCAGACTTCTAATGGGTAAACTTTCATCTGGTGACTCTTGGACATCGTGAGTGTACATGGACTAGGAATTTCATTTTTCAAGCGAGGGTATGAGACCATGCTTGACCTATTTGTCGCTGGATGTTACGTTTTAATTTTCATTATAAAGGACTACTTCTGCCTTAAGTGATCGAGAAGATTAGTGTTATTATCAGCTCGTTAGTTGATACTTTGTGTGTACAAAATGCGAAGGATTTCTGTTCGGGTTTTCTGATCACATGTATTACGTCCTACAAACTTCGAATGTTCTGTTTTTTTTTAATGGTAGCCCGTTTAGAATTATTGGCGTTTCTTGTGCAGGTAGACGAGGAGTATTTGATGGTGTTGTTGAGAATATGCATCTGCATTGGAAGCATAGAGAGCTCGTGAAAGTCATCTTCAAGGGGCCCATATTTGAGGCTGAGCAAACAGCTAAGATCCTTGAAATGGAAAGTGGAGGAGTACTCGTTGGTATCGTGACAACTACAAAAGGGCAGGCCATAATATTCTACCGTGGCAAGAATTATCAGCGCCCTTCCGAGCTGAGACCTCGGCATCTGCTTTCAAAGCGACAAGCTTACGAACGTTCCCTGGAGATGCAGCGGAAGCGAGTAATTTCTAAACCATTTTCCTCCTTTTGAATACTGGCACTAACACTGGAGGCCTTAGCTACAAATGATGAATATACTTTGTGCAGTCAACCATTTCATAAGATTGACAGTGATGGAATTCACCTCTGGTTTCAATCATAATTGCAGCAGCTCTTTCATTTAAAGAGACATGTGTTTTTATATCTTTGTTTTCTGACGTCTCCGTATTCGGTTTCAGTCTTTGGAGCAGCACATGCTTAAGTTGGAAAAGGAGATTGGAAAATTGCAAGTAGGCCTGGTATGCGTTCCTCGCTTCTTCTCCTTGCTTGGGTTACGTTATTATGATGTGTGTAGAATTTAACGATTGCGAAGGTAGCGTGTCCATATTTTGGAGGCAAGCATTGGCTCATCTGCGGCGTTCGAAAAGCTCTGTAGCTCTTCACTTCACTGGTCGAAAGAGAGTCAACCGTATCTCAATGACAAGCGTACGCATATGATAGTTTCAGCTGGTAATTGTCGTGATAGATGATAAGGTGATTGGATGAATACCACACCAGAACATTTTCTTCAAGTCGAGAAATCATGTCATGTTTTCTTTGTGCAGTACGAAACAGGTGAAGGCAACAGTGGTCTGGAGATGGAAGAAAAAAACCTGCTAGCATTATCAGAGCCACTAGGCACTGTTCTGGAAGATTTTGATGATGAAGAGTTCCGTTCAGATGAAAATTACAATGAGAATCTGGCAGATGATATTGAGCGTTTCGGCTGGAAACGAGAGAAACCAAATCCGAGGGGTGTCGTGCTGGACCCAATTTTCAAAGCCCAGCCATTGACCATAAAAGAGAGAATTCGTCTGCGACAGGAAGCTTTGAAGCAGAGTGATCCCATGCACATCAATATAGGTAATCATTGACGCGAAAAGAGTGAGTCATGAGGAATAATAGATTTGCTTCGCCATGACTACTCTGAATGTACAATTTCTTTTCTTTTCTTTCATCACCCGAGATTAGTCTAAATCTGATCTTGGTAGCATACCGGCATCATAACATTTATCAATTTAATCCATGATTAGTTTCTCACAAGAAACTAAATTGAAGGTGTTTATTTTTCACAGGAAAGAGCAATATGGTGGCAGGCTTGGCGAAGGCAATACGCCTTTACTTTCAGAAGCAACCTTTTGCCATAGTCGGTGTGAAAGGCAGAGCGAAGGATACTCCTGTAGAGGAGATAATTCAGCAATTAGAGGTTGTATTCATGTCCTCGGGTTCTTCTTAATCTTAAATTGTACTTAGGATTTGCTAGTCAATTCACTGGTTTTCAGCTCACTATTTAGGATAAAAGATCACGTTGATCATCTCCAGATTTTTTCAAGCATCGTTATCCCTTACGTAAGCTTTCGGAGGAAGATGGTTTTCTTTTTGTGAATTGCTTTTTTGTATGTCTTGCTCTTCATTCCTCATGTTTTCAGTGCATGGCATCTTCGTATATTATCTTGGCAGGAGGCCACCGGGGCTGTGCTCGTGTCAAGAGAACCAAATAAGCTTATACTTTACCGAGGGTGGCCTGCCGGTGAACAACGTCCTGACATGGTCACTGAGAATGAAGAAGAGGAAGAGGAAGAGATTCCGCCGGAGCTCAGAGCTGCAATAATGATGGAGGAGGTTCGAGACCCAATGGACTACAGCTATCTCACAAGGGAAGAGCTTTCCTTAATTGGGATCGAGTATAAAGGGAATGGAATTAAGGAAAACGATAGGGAAGAGAACCAATCAGAGCAGGAAGTTGAAGGTGACGCTCGTTTCGCCACATGGAATGATGGAAGATGTCACACCGAAGATGATAATGGAGCAACTGAGGTGGATATGTGGGATGAAGAGAAGTGGTATACAGAAGATGAGGACGAGGACAAGGATGAGAATGGTGCAGAATCTGAAAATCTGGAATTGAAGCTGGATGGAGTTGAAAATTACTAACTGAACTGTGTTGCAACCAATTTTCACGAACTACATGGAGCTTAAGGTTATGAGGCAGGCCCAGTTGGATAACCATCTTGACGGGTGCGGTAACGGCCGATTCTCAGATGAAGGCACAGCAAGGATAAAGTTGATGGCTTCATGGATTATTACATGCTGCAAGGACCATGTTCCTCACCATTTGTTCCTCAATCTGTTCGTTGGGAGATACAATCAAAGATGTGGAGTGTCAACCCTGATAAGCTTGCGTGGCTCTGATGTGATTCATCCGGATCCTTAAGCTTTTTAGGTTGTTTGTCTTGAAATCAAGGGCTCCCATGTCAAATGCAGGTGGTTTTCGAAGGCAGGGACCGAACACGCTAATCGTGTTGATGGACGAGGATAAATGGTTCCTTGATTACTGATGCAAAATTCAAATTTGCACTCTTGTTTGATTTCTTCGTTACTTCTCGAAGAATTCATGACACAATCAGAGAGTTGGGCTGGTGGACTTGGATGTGCTGAAATCGATGACATTATCGTCGTTGGTTCACACTGTGTTCTAGCAGGTGGATTTGAAATAACAATATGGCAGCCTTCATGGAACTGGGACGGATTAGGGCCATGCAAGTAGCGCACTCAAGAGCTGAGTCGCTAAGATCCTAGTCTTGTGTGAGGACGTTACCAGCAATTAGAATCGTCATTTGGGAGCCAATAAGGACGTTGCTCAAGCGAGACCTAAAACTTTTCCGTTCAAAAGGCAATGGTAGAAAATATCAGGCACAAATCGGCTCTTGTGAGGAAGCTCGATGCTGGAGAACTAAATCTTGTAATTGAGCTTCTCGTCTCCAATCAAGGCTTCCGTGTTTTAATGCGTTTCATTGCAGTGTGCTCGTTGTGTGAAATGATGGGCAAGGAGGAACTAAAAGATCGCTGCTACGTTTTTATAGCGTGTCTACTTCGTGGATATATTTCTAATGTCGAAAGTGAGAATTCCTGCTAACTCATTAAAGAGAGCACTATGGACAGCTCGAACAAAACTGATAAGTCCCTTGTCCCATATCATTTGTTCTGACCTGTCATTTGGAGCATTAGCCTTGAGCTCCAACAAAGCCTTACGAAGGAAGCTAAAACTCAAAAGTGCTGAAGCTCAAAAGTGCTAATGCTCAGAAGCCTCCTGTTAGCCATGTGTAAATCTTTCGTAGCTGCAAAATTTGCCAGTGATCATCTACTGCAGACTCTCCCGTTTCTCGTGCGGTCACGAATGCCTGACAGAACCCCTGGGAATACCGTGGAGAGACACATTTCACAAACGCATGGCACTTTTGATGGTTTCAGAGAGCTACTGAAAGTTCGCTCCGCTTCCCTGTAGGGTTGTGTCTTGTTGTGCATATCTTTTTGTATCTTCAACGTGCTCATCCCAGCTTTCGGAATGCACCTGCAGCGATGCCGTCCTTGTCAAGATCGAAGTGGCTTCTGGAACCATTTGCGATCATCGTGCTAGTGGCAGCCATTGCGGTTGCGACAGCGCAAGACAATTGGCATGGGAACAAAGAACGCGAGAATTTTCAATTTTCTTTTTCGGAGCAGGCCGCGGATGCACTACGGTCCCAGGAGAATCTGTCTGCGGAGTATGTCGCGGGGATTGGTTACGCATTCCTGGGCACCAACGCAACGGTTTCATCGATACTTAGAGGTCCGAAGATGAGCAGAGGATTGGTGATCATGCCAGAAGCAGGAGTGGCTCCAGAGGCATACGCGCCTTTCGCTCGCGGTGCAATTCTCACTCCATAGCCATATTTGCCTTCACACACCATCCTGAAATCTCCGAGGCTCTTGATTTCGCAACTGAGGAGGGATGGAGGGATGGAGAAATAGGCATGGAGGGTAGGCGAAAGCACACTTTCCATTACTGCTAGGACTTGCACTTGGCATGTTTGTCGTTGTGACAGTGGTGGCATTGTATGGATACCATGCTACGATTGTGGAGCGGCCAACTCCCGAACTCGTCATCAAGGCTATGATGCTCCAGCCCCAACTGCAATATTGGATACTGGCAGGACATGGCAATGGGGGCACTGTGGCAGCTCACGTTGCTGTTACCTTGCATCCTAAGGTCGAGGCGCTGATATTATTGGCGTCTCCTCTGCCCAGGGATGTCAATCTGAAGCTGCTGAACCTTCTATTGGTGGTTGCCTACAGTGAGAACGATACTTTGGTGACTTCAGCCGCGGTTAAGCGCTCCTTCTCCAGGATGGCAGGTAGGACCAGTCCACAGTGTTTTTTACAGTACTACCGACACCCAGTTGCAAGATGTGTCGTTAACCAGTCCACAGTCGATAACAACGCTGTGGAAAAAACTGGCTTCTCTCTACCTCTACGCAGTCTCGTTGTCTCACTGGGCTGGTGCTATTGAGAAAGCTCTCTCATGTGGGGACAACATGAAAATCATACCAGGGCGAAACGATTCAAAACCATACCCTGGAGACATCCGCGTCAAATTCGCCGAAGTTCCAATGAATGGCACCAATGCCAATGCTATATTCGACTCGAACCACCCTTTGTTTTCTGGTACGCGCAAGTCCATCCTTCGTTGTTATGAACAAATCGAACCCTTCCGTGATTATGTCCGTTCATCTCATATTCCTGACGAGCTCCTGTAATGCCTGTAAGGCTAACTTTGAATCATAGCACTCACACGTGAAAATGCTTATAACAATATTCTTCTCTGCAGGTGTTCCTACAAATAAATGGGCGATCGCAGGACACTCGGCAGGTGGTCTAGCGGCATCTCTATACGCTAGCAGGTTTAGGCACAGGATATATGCGGCTGTGTTGCATGCTGGAGCTTGGGCAGCAAATTTCACACAATCCGACCTTCCAGTAGTTCAAATCTACGGTACCTTGGATGATATAGGTCGCGGAGGATATGACAGATATCGATACCGAAACACCGATCCCCCTCCGGAAGGATCCGGCCCTCTCGTCAACTTGGAGACCTCCAAATTCGTCCCATTACCGGTGCAAATCACTACCAAGGCGGAGATTATGGGTATCAGATGGTTGATCAGGTTGCGACACTTAGTCTGGAGCAACAACATGGAGCATTTGCTGAAGAGACCGTTGCATTTCTTAGTGAAGTGCTCGTAAAAAAATAATTCTCGCCTAATGAGTCATAAACCATATGATTTAAGAGCGAGGAGACAAGCATGACATGGCTGTCAATTGCGTAGAATGACATGTATCCTGCTGATTCATCTATTCAAAATAATGTTCATCCTTGGCAAGTTGGTCTTCTTATGCTCAGCTATTTTGAGGCTTTGAAACAATCTCTTGAGATAGCTTATCTGATTACGTAGCATGGGTAATATAACTAGATGTTTATATAACAACCTACATGACATAATTGTGTACTTGAACCTGCACTGAATCCGTTATTTCAAACACCTGCAGTGCAGGTTGCAATCTAGCGGTGGATAACCCTCAAGTCCCTGCCGAAAAGAAGACCCATTACTCAGCCTGACATTTACTTGATATTATGTTGCGATGCGGAGATTGGTGATAGGCGTTTCGGATGCTGACTTAGAACTGCTTGCCGGATTCTGGAATTTTCTGCATCAGGTTTTGAGAATTTGATGTACAAGTGTTACACGCAGCACTTGTAAAGGTGCTGCCGCTACTGTGGAGAGTACGACGACAGTGCCAAATTGCAGGGGGATAATTGATAATGTCTATGACGAATGCTCGGTGGAGCGGAAGTTAATTAACACTAATACGTTCAGATTCAGAATTGTAACTGTGAGATGGAGACAGATTCAGATCGCCCGATCGCGAACCGTGATGGTGTACTTGACGAGACGACTGTTCACAAAAGCTCACGCGGATAACGGATTTGACATGGGGCAGGTTTCATAAGTCAGAAATAGTAATGAGTGATACAGCATATGTATCAGTAATGCACTTTATGGGGTACAGAAAGAAGTTTGTACGTACCCAGTTGAGACAATCCAGCATCCAACAAAAGAGAAAAAAAGGCAAGTCGACCGAGGGACAAATGAGATGGACACCCAAAATTTTGTAGAGCATCAAATTAAAGCTCAAAGTGAGAACAAGAAAGGCAGAAAACCTCCTCTACAATCCGCCGTTGAGCGGTGAGAACTGCACAATCCAGGGTCCTCTCGTAATAATCTCTCATTCCTTGACGATATTACCATTACCATGCCATGTACCGTCGCGCTATTGTTTGAACAACCTACTGCGCTTCGCAGGTGTCGCTTACTATCCTACTAACTCTTTGCATTGACGACTATATTTCTATGTCACGAGAGCTTCAATATAGACAAAGACTTAGCAGCTGCCACTGTAGCTGCCTGTCGTAGCCCTCCACCTCCGTCGCTACCTCCACATGTCTACAAGATGTTCACAACCAAAACCTCACACCTTAACCAACTCCTACGTCTCGTTACACACCTCCCTCGTATGGGACTGAGTGTGTAAATTATTCGTGTAAACTCTTAAAGCTACAAGAAAAGCAAGCTCCTGAGGCCATGCTAAAATCTGTCGCGGAGCTTGCTGTTGGCTAGTTTGCCCATTATGTCCTCTTCACAAACCGACCCTGCAGTTCAAGTGCGTGAAAACCGTAAGACTTTTGATTTAAGTCACGACGATTTTTCCAGCTGATGTGGGCAACTTTCAAAATGGATATTCATCTATCCCAGTGGAAGATCTGTTCCTTGGCAGGAGCGATTCAGTCGATTCTCTAAGTGCTTGTGTATCTAGTGGCGAAGAAGGTGTGAATCTAAGCACATTGTTTCACTACAGAGCGGTCACCGATGGGAAACTGACCTTCATACGGGGTCGCCTCTCGGCATTGAGCTTCCTAACTTCGTATCTAATCGTCTTCGAAAACAGACGGCTCCGCCTTTTCTCTTTATATCTCAGAACTCTAGCCTCCCGGCCTCCACCAGTTTGGTCATCATCGGCACCTCCTTCTCCCATGTCCGGCACTAACCCGACGTCCTGAAGAGACAAGGAACAGTGGATTTCGTTACACAGTGCAGTTCGTTTAGCATGCATTGCTAACTGGTCTTAACGAACTGCCACTAAGAGTTGAAATGTGTGGGTAGATTCACGGGTGGTACCTACCGTGGAATTCTCAGGATTAACCCACGGCTCGCCCCTATCGGACCAGGCTGTAAGAACGTCTTCATAGTTCAATCGAAGGGTCGGCGCCGTGCGCAGGTCCTCTTCGCTTAAACCTTCGAGGCTGCATCGCAAAATTTCCTTAGCTTCACTCTTGATATTCTCAGGGCTTAAGAGCACCTTCTCTCCCTTCGGTTTCTTTGCAAAGAACTTGGCGAAAGGGCCATTGCCAAATTGATCTGCCTCTACACTGACTGCATTGTTCGTGGGGTGAACCACTGCAAGGTAAGAAATCACAGGAATCGCGTCAGCGTTAGCACATTCTGGACGATACATCTGTTTCCGACATTTTAGAACATTATTCAAAATGCTTGGAGTGAAATAATAGAAACATGTACAAAGGAGAACTCGACTTGGTGAGTCTTCCAGCGACCTACCTGTGGCAGTGGCGGTAGCCGCGCTGTCCTCACCGAAGGAATCCGGGGAGGCATCTCGGAGAGCAAGATGAAAACACAGACTGTAGTCATCCTCATATCCATCAAGGCCGGGGATGTCACCGGGAATAAAGCAGGCATCTCCTGCTATGCTGATGCTGCTGTCGACATCGCAGCAGATGTTGACACCGGAGTCTAGACAGTTATCGAAGACGCCGTCTGGGACCACAAATTGGTCAGCCATGACGTCGTCGGAAAAATCGTTGTGTGCAGCTTTGCCTTTGAAGTAAGCCGCAAACGAATCCTCAGATGGTGAGCAAACTCCATAAAAGTCACTGCGGAACTCAGGGGAGAGCTCAGGACTGGAGAGATCAAACTCAGAGCTCGACGGCGACGAGTCTTGCGCCACAGTAATGAAAGCAGGAACCTCCTGGGTGTCGTCCACAAGGAAATCTTCAGTATCAAAAATGTCTGAGAACGTTAACAGCTCTTCCTTCACTTTCACATCCTCCACCTTGCTCACCTTCGAAGTCGGTTTGGCTTCAGAAGCACGGCGTTTCAAGGGATGTGGCCTACTGGTTCTAGATCGCTTCCTCGACGACATGACCTGCACTGGGGCAGAGTGGCATTTCTTAAGACTAGATTGCTTTCGTGGCATTTCGGAGTCTTCGTCGTGATCCGCCATGGTGACTGTAACCTTCCGAGAAGATTTCATTGGGACTCCGCTGACAGTAAGCCGTACTCGCTCATGCCGTTTTGCTAGGGCGTTCGCAGAATGCACTTGTGTATCACAGCGGTCGCAGAGGTACGCTGTATCGGCACCGCAATACCACCGCGCGCTTTTGTTCGCACACACATCGCAAGCACGAGAGGCTCTCCCTGCAATCGCGATTGCTGTAGTCATCGACCTACTGGCTACTTTGGTCGCCATGTCTACCCACTTCAGTAGTGGGTGGTCGATTTTGAGAATCGGGTGCTGTCGGTCAGGGCTAAGGGAGCTTCGTTGTTCACGAAATTCGGCGCTCAGAACTCAGATGGTTTTTTCATGTAACCCACGAGCTCGATTTGTTCAACGAAAAGCACTACAACAGAGCCGTCATCGAAATTGCAGAGTTATGCACCTCCTCACTGGAGATACGAATCAGCTCGGGAAGCTCAATTTTTTGATTGGACGGATACTCAAGAAAAACTGATTGATTCTTCGTAGACCGTTCGTACTTATTTCGGCAGCAATCCGCTACAGGATAGGTATCGACAAATTATTACAGTAGCTACAGGAGGGTACCTTTGCGACACATGAAAATTTGTATCACCAAAATGGCACGACTCAACTGAGCGTATCTATGACTTCTGCACTTGTTCACATCAATCCATCAAAATCGTTCCGGTTCTTAGTTAAAAGACACGCCACCGCCACGAGCACAGGACCTGGACCTGAAGAACTAAACACCTGAAAGCCAGCGACCACTACAAAATCCTGTCCATCTCTGTAAAACACCCGGAAGCAAACCTCTGAAATCCTTCGTAAACCCACCTCGACCGACGCTTTAAAACTTTCAGGCGCTACCTAGACAACCAACCTTGGGATTGACCCTGAACAGACACTACGCTACATCACAATGGCAGAGTCCAGGGAGCTCCAGCCCTTGTATATGAATTTTCAAGGCGAGGTGGGCGGGGTGGGGTGGGGGGGGAGCTAGAAACCCACAACAGCAGTCTAGTGTTATGTAGTCCTCGCTGCTGGCGATGGCTGCTGCGAGATTCTGAACAACTCGGTGAAAAACACACCCACTGGCATGCAGCTTTGACGATGGTGGTGAAAAAGAAGCCGAGTGGCGGGGAATTATCCCTGACTGTAGTTGGGGGAGGGTGGGGAACGGCATACTTGCATTATACAATAGTTACCCCCCGGCTAACAACTCTTGACAAAAGGAGGCTGATCGCCAATTTTGTATTGTAGTTTTGTTGCTGGCTGATTGTCCCATCCAAAGCGGACTCTCCATTCCTTATGTTCCGCTTTTCCTGCGGTTTTACCTTGTTTATCCATTTTTTAATCCCAGGTTTCTCTCGAGGTTTATTCTGGTAGGGGTAGAACGACGCAGTGTCGAATTTTACTGCGCTTTGATATTTAATAAGGACGTAATTTAGCTGAGAGCTGCATAAAGTTTCACTCCGCAAATTGTGATGCACGCATTTTTTTTTAGTAATTCTGTTTTTTTCAAATTATGAGCGGGTCGTCAAATGGAGGACAGGAATCCTCCACTGGTCAAGGCTAGTATGAGAGAACCTACAGCCAATTCCTAGCTCACTCATAAATTAGTGTGACATTGAAATCTAGATGGAAAAATAAAAGGGCTCCGCGAGTGGGAAGGGAGAGTTGCTCATAGGGAGAAAAGAGAAAGAGAGGGAAGCACGTGGTATAGACGGAGGGGGAGCATAATAAAAGGCCTGAATATTAGCCAGAAGGTGCGTTCAGCATTAATGTGACTATCTCTGAATAGGGGAGAAGAAAAGGAAAAGCCTCTTGCGTCAGCATTAGGTTTATGCAGAAGTTAGCTCATTGTTTCCTTAATGAAGCAGGCTTAAGTTTATTATTCTTAACAAACAACTAATCAAAAGTTTTTAATAATGGGTAGCATGGATTCCATCTACAATCTTTGCTCCTATTTAAATTTCCAACTCACTGGCGCGAGCGCACCCTTACAGATGTAGCAATACATATATGTAAGTATACTTATATATATATATATATATATATATATTAATTGAGGTGTCTGTGTATGTGTGAAAACTTAAGTATTCACATTTACGTTTATAACTGATTTATCAGTTCAGCTAAACCAGGTATATTTGTAATTTCATTTCACCGCCCCAGCTGCAGTGACAGCCAGTGACAGTCCTCAACGTGAGCTTAGTCTTCATCACAAATGATTGCTGCAACACCAGATGGAAGTTCATTGGCCTCCCGGCCCCAGATCCCCAGATATCTTCCAATTCGGAGAGTCCAAAAACCCATCTGCGGAAATAGGTGAGAGCAATGAGAGCTTTAGTTAATGCCTGCCGTGTAAGAATCCTCATTGCCTCCACCGCAAAGATCAGAGACTCTCCTTAATGGGTTCCAACCCTCCCAGTTTCCAATTATATCTCTCCATCTATATAAAAGTAAAAGAATGGAGGAGAATAGGAAAAATATCCAGTTGGATAGATCTCCACTTGCCAACAATAATGTGCAACCCAGTCCAACGCAGACAGGTCGTCTCTCTCCGTGTGTTTGTTTCTCAAATAGACCTGATCCAAGTTTCACTAATACTCCAACTCACGGATTACCGATGAGGCTCTTCAACAGCTCGTTTCAGATACAAACCGTATGTCGACCAAACCATCGATGATCCATTTTTTGTTTTTCGAAAACGCCAACAGCGATTAGTGCTGCATCAATAGCCTGCTTAAGCAACATGGGTTCCGAAAGCCCGTGCGAAGTATTTTCCCGAGCTCCGAATCCTGACAAGTAAAAATTGGCACTCAAAACCTCGGGATGCGGCAGAGGTTTGCATGAGCTGGCGCATGCGTAGTTAGTTCAGCTTTCCGAGGAGGGCGAGCAGGGCGCGAGAGAGTGTGAGAGAGAGTGTGCGTCAGTGAGGGCTTGTCAGTACCCGCGACCCTGCAACTCTCAAGTGACACCAACAACTCCTTTCCATGGGTCTGAGTTATGACCTCCCAAGCATATTCTGGTCTTGTTAGGTGAGGGGTTCGTGAAAAGCGGGTCAGATCGACGCAGGGTCCCCATCACTAGCCCCCTGAATTGTAGCTCCGATCTCACACCGCGCTTGCACGCTTCCGCATGGCGTCATCGCCTGTCTGTCATCCTCCTTTTCTCACCGCAACCGTATCGAGCTTTTCCTCCGCCGCGTTTCGCGATCTCACGGGTTGTTTGTTCCCCTGTAAAGTTCCCAGTGGAGAACGGTTTTTGAATGCTGTGCCGCGCAGGGGGGAGCCAGTTTGAGAACGTACCCTCTGTGATGCCAAATCTGGAGCACCGATTCCGCTTGGAAACCGCCTCTCTTCCATGCACAACATCCCAATCATGGGAATGTCAAACCAAAGGGGATGTGTTTGGGCCCCTTTCAGCACAATGCTAGCTTTGGTGGAAGTGTAGGCAAATAGTACAGTGGGGCTGCAGGGCCAAAAAATTTGTAGGAAAAAGAACCTGGGTCAACTTTTAGGGTTTCCCTCGAGGCTCTATGTACAAAGCTGTACAATGTTCTGGTTAGGTCATCACCCACTGCCTGCCTGAGAGCAATTCTAGGGTGTAATTTTCCTGGAACTATGCCAGAAGAAGGATTACATGAGATGGATGTAGTGGTGAGTCAGGTTCATCTAGCTAATGTATAGAAGAACTACTGGGTTGGTTTGTAACTATGTCTGTTTGGCACTCTTGGGTTGGATTGTGGGATTGTAGTTTGGCTTGGAGTGAGTTGGTTGCACCCCAGTTTTCTTGTGAAACAAACTCTTCTGAAAAAAGTTACTGTGATATACAGCAAACGTGACAAGTGAGAGTATGTAGATATGTTGTTTGGATAGATAGGCTGCTCCTTGGAGCTCCACTTGTAAAGCAACATGTTGTCTTGTGTGTTATATATTTTTGATATGTCTGGTTGATAAGCATATTTTTGCTACATAATTTTTTTCATATTTCATTTATGATTATGAACATTGTAACTACTATTAATTTATTGTAATCTATGTATAATCATGCATACAGCAAACATGAGATTGTCAATCAAAAAGAGTTCAAAGCAACCACTGAAAGTGCAAGAAACCACTTACTTTTGTTCTCAATTTTCACAAATTAAAACATATATATATATATATATATATATATATATCACCATAATTGTAATTTTCAAAAACTGTCCATCTTACTGTCATTACCCAACTCCATTGAGTTGAATCTCAACTCTTTTCTTCAGTTTTCTTTTTCCCCAATGACAATGCTTTAAGGAAAAAGACTTGTAGCAAATGTAGTACATAATAACATTTTGCATAAATACTTGTGATTGGTTGCTTGTACACCTTTCACACTCAAAAGTGTAAGTGCCCATTTTCATGCTATAAATTAAAATCATCCTTTTTTTTGTCCTATAAAATAAAAGGATTGTGTTGAAAGATGTTTTTCTCCAAATAAACAATGATAGGCATCATGGCATTCTCTACACAAATGTATCATGGGCTAAGAAGAGACAATAACAATTGAGCCATCATGTGGTGACAGTTGGAAAGGAGTTGTATTAAGTGGCACAGTGAGATTGCAGGAAAAAAAAAAAAAAAAAAAAAAAAAAAGAAGAAGAAGAAGAAGAGAAGGTATAGTTAAAATGGATCCATTATATGGCTTCACTCTTGAAATGTCCATTGCCATCACACACACACACACACCCAAAAAAAAAAAAAAAAAAAAAAAAAAAAAAACTTGCATCAATGTAAAGCATGGATGCTAGATCCATGGATTATTTTGGAAAGGGAAGAAACACATTATGAATTTTGGTATTTTGAATTGTAAACATTATAGAGGTGGTAAACATCCAAAAGTGTATAATAATGATAAAAATTATAATAACAACAATATTCAAATAATATGTTTGCAAATTGGAAAACAATAAAGCCACATTAGAGTTTATAGTTTTTCTTGAATTTTAAAACTTTCATATTACTTGCTCAAAAGATTTAGTCTTGAAATGCAGTAGAATTGGAAATGAAGATGTGAAGGTTTCATGATAAATATAGTTTGTAGCATGTATGATTTTGAAATAAATTTTCAAGTCAGGTGACTTTTGCATTTTCGCTGACAATGGCATGTTCTATGTGATGATTATTCTGATTATTTTAATTATTGCTACCAAGGAAATTTAAAGACAATGCAGATAAGCATTGAAATAGTAATGGCAAAAATATCTCCAACATCACAAAGTTAACCATGGCCTCCAACAATTCATAGCAAAATAACACCTCATTGTTTGTGCATATTAAGCATAAATTGTCTTTTCAGATATATATTAAGTGCCCAGCCTTTTCTAATCGTACATAAATAGCTTCACAAAATTTTCTAAAGATATACAAAATATATGAACTTTTGCCACCATGTAGGAAAAAAAGAAACATTTGATGCTCATATTTTGTCATCTTTTTTTTCTTACAAAAGTGGAGTTCAACACTTTTTGCCAACATAAAGGCACTACCCACAAGATTATCTGTCACAACTGGTACTATTAAGTCAAAATTCATAACATATTTTTGAAACAATTGATATTTCTTACGAAAATGAGAGTTTGGTTTCAAAGAGAAAAATTATTATGTATGCATTGGAAAAAGTTCTTACTTAATAAATAATTAGGAACTCAAATCTCTCAATTAATTCCAAGCTATTCCTTGAAGTATCCAGGGCATACAAAAAGAAGGAATCTTAGAAGCTTACTACACCAAAATAATGGAAAAGACCACCCTTTCCTTGCAATCGCAATTCATTCTAGAAAGATGCGTGAAAACCCAAATCATCTAAAAACAACTTTTTCCCTCAAAGAGGAAAGTAAAAGTTTCCACGACAAGGTCGGGAATATCCAGATCGGGGGGGGGGGGTTCAAACAATAAGCTGAAGCTTATCTGAGCGATCCAATTTGCGTTTCAACAACCAATACTGGCCAACCTCGTAGTAT